GGGGGGGGGGGGGGGGAGTGGGGGTGTTGGTGCTGTCGACATTCAGGGGTGGGGGGGTGTAGTGTAAAACAGAGAGTCTCCGGATTTTAGATCTCCGGATGTTGGCAGGTATGCACTTGGACGAAAAATGTGACCGTTGGGTCAGATATCACTTTCCGTACATTCAAAGTGGATTGTCACTATCACGATACTTCATGTGATATTCCTCAAAAACGAGTTATTGTTATCCATTGAGTTATACCTTTATTTTGCTAAAAGGCGGTAATTCAGCAATTTCTTCTTGGCAAAACGTGAAATTTTTGTGCCACTACCACCAGCTCTACCAAAACCGCTGAGATGCAATCTCGTTCCCAGGGCTTCTCGCTTCCCACCTCTTTTTCTGGCAGTATCTTTTGCCATTGACATCATTTTACTGGATGTTGCTGATGTCGTCCAGATTTGGTAAATGCTAGCTGGTTATGAAGAATAGCTGAAGAATTTGAGAAATATTTTGATTGAAATATAAGAAAAACAAATTAATAACTAAAATTTAATAGACTAAGTAGTTAAACAAGAGACTCTGTTGAAGTACACTGGAGAAAGTGTTACTTGTGTAGTTGCAGTGTTGTGTCTAACTATCAATTTCCTTAGTGTTTAGAAACCAAAGTAAATTGTTGTTATTTATTAACTATTCATGATGATTTGCAGAGGAATATTGTTCACAGAGACTTAAAGCTTGGAAACATTGTTCTGAATAGGAGGTAAATCATTATTTATTTGTTACTTTAAGTAGAAGTATATGTAATGCATAGCAGTAGGTGAAGACCTGCTAACCCCTGATAAAGGAAAATCTGGAGACTTAAAAAACAAAGTCGGGAGATTTCACAAAAAGTAGTGAGATTCCATTATCTTTGTTACCGATCTAGATTAAACGAACCCTTTTTCCATTGGGGGAATAGCTATTTATTTAAATATCACCTTGCTTTAAATATTTATGGTCCCTCTTGTGACAAGATGTTGCCACCTTTTCTATGATGACTGTAAGAGGCTAGGGATGAGGCCATCACTAGGGCGAAACTTACAGCAAGGGACTGTTTCTTCTGGATAATCCAATTTCATGGCCAAAATGTTAGAAAAAGTAGCATTTCATTTCAAACTTATATTTCCCCAAAAACCGTGAGATTGGGAGTCTTGTCGTGAGGCCATGAGAAAAGTTGAACTAGAAATATGTCATGAAATTGTGATGCTTCAGTAATATGAATAAATAATATTGAAACCAGCCAATGGGCAAAAAATAAGGTAAAAAAAAAAACAAAACAACCAAAAAAATGGGGAAAAAAACCTTCCTCGGCCTGGAGTCGAACCCCAAACCTTAGACATCTAAGGTCACCCCCTTGTCTATTGAGCAATGCCACCAAATGTTAAAAGTATGTAGTGCACTCAGTGGAGGTCATGTTGCTTGGAAACTTCAATGCAACTCGAGGTCATGCACAATCAATGACGCCACTGCGACTGCCAACCGAAGTCAAGATGTATAAATGTATATAAAGCTGACTTGTTTTTCTGCCTCACTGTGAGGTCCAAGCACATTCCACACAAGATGCAAATTTTGATAAAATTATTAACTCGCTCGCTTCGTGTGGAAAAATGGTAAGACTCACAGCAAAATTGTGAGAGCTGGCAGGTCTGTAGGAGTCGAAAGCAAAGTAGATCAATCAGGCCAATCGTTGTGCGTACCTACATACATCCTGGTACACAGCTGGGGGCCCAAAACAAGGATTTTGATGCTGTTTACAGACGGACTTTGTAACCAGAGTTTAGTTTCATCTGTGGGGCAGGCTATTTGCATTTTTAGCTTTGTTAGAAATTCTACCATGATTGTATCGGTTTTTGACAAAAATGACTATATTTTTCCTTCAGGACAAAGAGAATAACAATCACAAACTTTTGTCTGGGGAAGCATCTCATAAGAGACAATGATTTGTTGAAAGATCAAAGAGGAAGCCCAGCATATATAAGTCCTGATGTCTTAAGTGGTAAGTAATACCTCACCTTTTCAAACTCCTTTTAACTCTTAAAAGTCCCAAGAGTGAGCAACATCAATTTTCTCCCTGAACAATATCAATGAA